ATATATAAAATATATGAAAAGTTGATGTGGGTACTCAAATGAAAGGTCTCGATGAGTGTAACATCAGGATGAGCTTATATCTATAAAAATGTCAATAGATCACGAGATATGGGGTCATTTCTTAATTATGTATCTAGAAGTAGAGTATAATTTAATTCTCTTTATTTTTATATACTTGAAATACTCATAACATAACTATCGAATTATAAATAATTGTCATCATTAATTTAATTGATATTTATGTCCAAATAGAGATCCAACACACACAACAACAGAAACGACAATATTTGATTTCAATATGAGTGCCTTAACTACGTTATTACGTCGTCAAGCTGAACAAAATCCCACAGCGTCGTACTTCAATGTCGATATTCTTAAATATCAAATTAAGGCTAAAGAAGGCGCGGCATCATGTCCGTTTCAGATTGTTGCCTACTGGAAATGTGAACCGACACATACTGACTTGAAGGTACTATACAGAATTATTTAATAATCGTAAATCAATATCTTTTGCGAAATATTGCCCTCGTATATATGTTAAGTAGTTAATCTATCCACGTCCAATATATTAACGTTAAGTACTTAAGATTTTTAGGGCGTATTTGGGCCAAGGATCTATTGATTATCCGTTTAATTTACTTTAATACATTTTATATAAACTAATTTATAAATTTAATAAAATTTCGGAAAATAAATTTTTATTTAAAAATTAGTAAAAAAAAAAATAAAGACATGAAAGACGTATTAATATTTATTATTTCAGATTGACTACAAATACAACAGCCGTGCGATGGCATCCCCAAGCCCGCTACTAAATCTTCATGTAGCCGCACCGATCGACGGGGGATTCAAGAGTATGCACAGTAAACCCTCCGCCCAATGGCTACCAGACACAAATCGTCTGCTCTGGAAGTTCACCGAGCTTTCACAGCACAGCGAGTCTAATGGAGTGGGATCGTTAAAAGCTCGAGTTGAAATCGATCGCGGTCCCGGCACTCAAGGAACTATATTCACGCAATTTAATTGCGAAGGCACAACTCTGTCGGGAGTTGAATTCGAATTAGTTGGCCCAGGATATAGATTGAGTTTGGTCAAACGTCGATTTGTTTCCGGTAAGTTTAATTTTAACTCAACTAACTTATTAAATTTTAAACAATGTAATTTTATTTTTTTTTTTTTTTTTTTACTAAAAATTTAATTTTTTTTTTTTAATAAGAAAAATTTTATTGTCTGTAGGTTTTTAATGAAATTCTACTCTTGCAGTCGTTTTGTCGATCAATTTGTCCAGTATATTCCATAAAAATCTATTTATATTTTTATCCTTATTCTCGATGCATTTTTTTTGCATACAATCCTAGTAGATTTTTTTTCTATTCATTATTTATTTATTAATTTATTTTCTTTATATAAATCTCAACAGCCTAAGGGCCAATAATTTTTTTTATTATTATTTTGCTTTTTATATTTTATTTTAATGAATTTTATTGTGAAAAATAAGATTATGAGGCGTGTACTCTTAGAATTTCTAAACTTTTTTTTTTTACTAAGTAAAATTTAATTTTTTTTACTAAGTAAAATTTTATTTTTTTCATACAAAATAATAAATAAAATTTTTAAAAACAGGTAAATACATTTGCGATGGCGACTCAGATCCACGATCACGATACGCTGCGCCTCCTTCTGTTAGCAACTGACCCTCGCCTCAATGGACCCCAAGATCGGGTAATTCACCAATATAGTAACATGAGTAATAACTAATAAAAAATACCGATATTTATTATTTAAATATTTGCCTGTTTATTCACTGCCGATTAATAAAAGTTTGTTTTTTCGGTAATTGATTGATTAAAATAACGATTAAGAGATTAAGGCCATTGGATACCAAAGATAATCGGTTTGTTTAGGATCTAATTGGTCTCGTTGATTTAAAAATTAGTCGAAGGGCATTTTTATTATGAAAAACTAGGATCAAAAATAATTATTGATATTATCATTTAATATTAATTAAGATTTAATGTTTAACACCAAAGGCTAAAGCCGTGAATGTTGATTATAAGTCAACTATTACTATTATTATTATTGTCAATGAATATTATTGATAATTATGGTATATATTAAGTTAATGTAAATATCTTGATTACATTGAAAATTTGTTGTTTACGTAATTGTGAAGGACAACTTTTTTCCTTTTTTTTATATAATAAATCAATGGAAAAAAAATTAATATTTGAAATGAACTTTGGGTGCAGAATAATTAATTGATAATTTGTTATACGAAAATATCAAAAATGTTTTCAATTTATGAAATTTAATATTTTTTCTAAATTAATATTATTTTTATATCTAATTAGTATTTTTTAAAAAAAAATTGAAATATGTTTTTAAATGATATTTTAAAATTTAATATGTCAATTTCGACGTTTATAATAATTTTGGGATTAATAACATATCTACGTGATTGTCTTCAAAGTTTATTCTTAATTTATATCAAAATATAGTATTTTTTTATTTTAATTAAACAATTAATACTCCTATCTTAAAATTGACCGAATAATTAATTTTTAAAAATTTCTTAGCGTTAATTGGTGAATTGTGTTTTGTTTTTTTTTTGTATTTAAATTGACTGAGAGCACTCTGTGATACTCGAAGATCATAATTAAACTCTATAATTGATAAAAAAAATTATCATTTTTCCATTTCGTACAGTATTTACTGATAAAAATAAAAAATTACGTTTGAAATAATTTTTACCTTACAATTAAAATTATATAATAATTAAAATATTTGTCCAGCATAAATGTTTGTCTTTATAAGAAAATTAGCGAATTGATATTAAGCATGTTCGATTGTTATTTAAAAATGCGAAATTGAATTGATTAAATTTTTTAAATTTAATACAGAATCTGCATTATTAATAAATGATGACATGTAAATAAATAAATATAAACCGTGTACATTGTAAAAAAATAAAGTAATAATAATAACACACAGTGCGCCTGCATAATTAAAAATATAAGAAATAAGTAATAATAACTTAATGAAAAAATAAATTTTAAGTAAAAAAAAATGAATGCAATAAACGCATGTTACAATAGAAATATTGTGTAAAAAAAAAAACAAAATTACAAAACAATAATAGAATGTAATGGTTTGTGTTAATAAAGATCTTTATCTAGGATATTTTATATAAATGATTTGTTAATTATTTATGAATATGTTACATCTATTGAAGTTAAAACTGAGGTAGATATTTTTAAGCAGTTTTCCATAGTTTTAACCATTTAATTATTTTTCAATAATCAGATAAAAAAATAAGGTAAATATTTACAAGTGGGGTCATTTTAATTTTTATTTTTTTTCACAAAATTTCTAGTTAATTATTGATATATTTTTTTTTAATACATAAAAAAATGAACAATTAAAATAAAAGTTGATTATCACAATTTTAACAAATTTTTTAGAAAATTGTGATTCAACTTTTTTTTTTTTTTTTTTTTTTTCAATTGTTCGCTTTTTTATGAAAATTAATTTAGAAAATAGTTTATAATTTTAAGAATTTTTTTTTAACAAATAAATTATGGCAAAAAAAAAGTAGAAAAAAATTGACATGTAGAATTTTTTTTTTTTTTTTTTTTTAAATTTGTTTAAAGTCGCATAAACTACTAAGGTCCTGAGCGACTACGGTAGGGGGTACACTTTTGAGATTGGAACTCGTTTGTATTTCTTGGGCTGAGCAGAATAATATACACTTAAATATTGAAAATATTCATTTTTTTTTTTTTTTTTTTTTTTTAGAGAAATTTAAAAAAATTAGAAATGCAATTTTTTTAAAATAATTTTTTGTAAAAAATCTATTTGTTAAAAAAAATTAAAATGGTTGAGTGACTGCTAACTTTGATGTCATCGCTTTTTTATGTACTTTAAAAAAAAATATCGTGTTCCAGATACCATAAGGGCGTATACCGTTAAAAAAATCCCGGTGAAAAGCCATAAGGGCGTATAATAAAAATTCTAATATTTTTTTTAAGTCCAAAAAAATTTTTAGTTTGAAGAAAATTTTTTTTTTTTGCATTTTTGCTTATTTCACGAAAAAATACGTCGGTTCTAAAAAAAAAAATTTTTTTTATACATTCTTATGGCATCCGAGGTGAGTCCTGAGTCATAAAGGCGTATAAAAAATTTTTTTTTCGGAATCAACATGTTTTTGTATGAAACGTGCAGAAATGGAAAAAAAAATTTTCCTTCAAACTAAAAATTATTTTTGGACTTAAAAAAAAAAATAGGATTTTTATTATACACCCTTATGGTTCCCGGGTACCGTAAGGGTAATTTTTCAAGTAATTATGGCAGGAAATGAAGTTAACTCCACTTGTAAATAATTACCACAAATAAAAAGTTAAAAATGACTTTTTAGCTTCAAATTAATAAATAGTCTCATTTATTCTAAAAAAAAAAATCTGTATACTGGCCTTAAAAAATAAAATTCTAAATAAAAATCAACAACCAAAAAAATACTGCAAAAAAGAAGAAGTACAAGACTTAATGTCTAGAAATTTGTAATAAAAGTTTCAACAAATCATCTTCTTTAAATCGTTTGCTGAGTAAATTATCATAATTCAGAGGAATACTCATATTTTGAACACCATCACTCACAGGACCTTTCAATTTAACTCTGTCCAAAATAATCCAAGCTAGTTTCCTCTCCAGCTCGTCGTACCTCTTATCTAGCGTGAACCAAAGAGCAAGAGCGCATCTCTGGCCTCTGTGAACCCCTTTCACGCCATGTAAATTTTTCTCGTCTCCAGAAAACGCTACCATGCGCCCGCAGTACGGATCAACGACACTCTGAATGTTCATTGCCTTGGGATCCGCTGCGAAGATAAATTCTCCGCCTTCAAAGTCGTCGTTCAGGTAAACGATTGCAGAGTAATCTCGCCAGGTGTATGCAGGACTCTCGTGCAGACAGACGCCTTCTTTAATCGCCAGGCAGTTGTCTGCGTGGATATCGTGGCTGAATACTTGCTGGTTCACTGGCGAACCTGTTATTGAAATTATTAATTAGAAATTTTATTATTATACTAAGAAAATAAAATACTTTTAGTAAGAAAATTTTCTTTATACGAGAACATATTTATGTTCTTCAAAATTTTCAAGGTAAAATTTTGTCTAATTTTGTCTCAAAAATTAGTTGAATTAAAATAATTTTTACTTAATTCAAGTAAAGCTATTCTTTTTTTTTACCCATAATGTAACAAAAAATGTCTATAATAAAAAAAATAAATAATGATGCTTTTTGATGATATTGACATTTTTAAAGATGTAAGCTCATCACGATGTTACACTCATTAAGAGCTTTCATTTGAGTACCCACATGCATTTTTATATATTTTTCATATATACATATATATAATATATATAAATATATGAAAAATTGATGTGGGTATTCAAATGAAAGGTATTGATGATTGTAACATCGGGATGAGCTTATATCTTTAAAAATGTCAATAGTTCACAACACACAAGGTCATTTCTTAATTATTGACATTTTAAAAGATATAAGCTCATCCCGATGTTACACTCATCAAGAGCTTTCATTTGAGTACCCACATGCATTTTGATATATTTTTTATATATACATATATATAATATATATAAATATATGAAATATTGATGTGGGTACTCAAATGAAAGGTCTCGATGAGTATAATATCGGGATGAGCTTATATCTTTAAAAATGTCAATAGTTCACAAGATACAAGGTCATTTCTTAATTATGTATCTAGAGATTTTTTTCTTAAATTGTTAAATTGTTAAATTGATGGATAAATTAATGGAAAGGAAGAGTTTTAGGACCTGCATGGAAAAATTACCGGGGAGAGCTGAACGGCAGACCAGGTGAGTGTAAGTAAAGTACAGGTGTTGGTGAAGATTGAAATACCTTTCCACATGACTGCGAGCTTTTTCTGATGACTTTAGGAATAATTCTAAGTAGTCTGGAGTCAACAGACCGAAGTAAACCATCTGGATAAATATAAATAAATAAATTAATTAATTTCATATTTTTTAGATAACTTCTTCAGATTATTTAAAAATAATTATAATTAAAAAGAAGAATATAAATACCAAAGCTGCTCTTCCGACAGTAAGCCCTTCAAAGAGTTCGTACTTTGAATGCGGGCTTTTATTATTTTCATATCCATCGCCTACAACTGCAGCCATCTGTAAATGAAAAAAATTTTTTTTATCAGAAGAAAATTTAAGGTGAAAGATAATTTTTTTTAAAAATTCACCTGAGCTAATTTTATAAGTAAATTACACTGCAATTTAGTGACAAATCCATCAGCTAGATAACGAAATGTTCCATTAAGTTCTTTTTCATTAAAAACAACTCTAACGTTTTCTAACGAATCTAAAATTTGTGATTCCCGCCTTGCAGTTTCTTCTCGCTCGTACAGTAAAGACTGATTGTTAATTATCGCTTGTACTGCAGGTGAGTGACCCGGAGGCGGGTGGTCCATCAACTGAAAAATTAAATTCTATTTTAACTTTCATTCATTTATTATTAAATATCTTATCTCAATATTATTGTTATTTTTATGATTAATAATGTTGATTTAATTATTATTATTATTATTATTATCATTATAAAAATAGAGATTGCATTGAATCGCGTTGTATTGCGTGAACGTTGTCTCTAATAGAATTCTAGAGCTTTTATTTTCTTTAGACCAACGCGATGCATCACTGCATCTAAATTTTCATTCATTTAAATGCTTGTATATTTATATTTATTTATTCATTAATAATCTAGTTACTTTTTAATAAAAATTTATTTATTTATTTTTATTGCTGCTTTTATTATCATACATTTTACATATATAAAATTGAGTATTTTTTTTATGTATCTTCAAAAATTGATAATAAAAATAATTTTACAATATATAATTATTTTTATAATGATAAACAATTTTATTCATTTTTTTTTATTATTCATATTTTACCTTCTCCTCTTCTTGCTTTTTGTCTTTTTTTTTTTCGTTCAGTTTAATGTCGATTGCTGAAAATTCTTGAGAGATAAATGAAAGAATTCTTAATTCATATTCTTGGCGCTTAACATACTCAAAAGCTTCCTGAAAATAAAAAAATAAGAAAAAATTTTTAAGTAAAAAAATTATTTTTAAAAATTAATTTATTTTTAAATTAATTTATAATAAATATTATGACTTACTGGACGTGGTTCAAAATATTCTTCTTGAACTTTAGGCAAATTTTTGTAATATTCCTTGTTGTAATTCATAGTTTCATCTGCTGGGAAGAATAATAAATAACTTTCTACTGCTTGACAAGTTTTTTTAATGTTGCCCGCTAAAATAAAAGAAATATAAAGTTAATTATTATTATTATTAAAGTCACTTTACAACAACAATTTTAATTAATTATTTGAAGAAGCTGACGTAATAACTTGAAAAAATTGGATCAAATTAAATGAATTTTTTAGTGAAAAATTTAAATTACTAATATGACATTATAATAAATGAAATGAAAACCAGGCCAGAATAAAATAATATGCTAACAAATTACAAAGTGTAATTTGTAATAAAAACTAATAAGCAAATTGAAGTTTATATCATGACCTTGAATTACTCACTTTTGTAATAGGCGAATTGCAAGTAGTTATAGTGACTTGCTAGTAAATCTTTTTGATAATCTCCATTTATCCTGTTTAAAAATCTTGAACACCCACGCTTGCATTTTAAGCAATATGTAAAATGATCTGTTGATAAAAAAACTTCTTTTAGTCTCACAATAAAATAAAGGTACTAATGCGGTGGATTATGAACTATAAATAAATAAAATTTTGCTTTATTAAAAATAATAATTTTTGTTAAATTGCACTGCACTTTCTTGAATATTGACGTCTTTAAAGATATAAGCTCATCCCGATGATACACTCATCAAGACCTTTCATTTGAGTACCCACATGAATTTTGATATATTTTTCATATACATACATATATATAATATCTATAAAATATATAAATATATGAAAAATTGATGTGAGTACTTAAATGAAAGCTCTTGATGAGTGTAACATCGGGATGAGCTTATATCTTTAAGAATGTCAATGTTTTACAAAATACAAGGTCATTTCTTAATTATTCACATTTTTAAAGATATGAGCTCATCCCGATGTTCCACTCATTAAGGCCTTTCATTTGAGTACCCACATGCATTTTTTATATATTTTTCATATATACATATATATATATAATATATATAAATATATGAAAAATTGATGTGGGTACTTAAATGGAAGGTCTCGAAGAGTGTAATGTCAGGGTGAGCTTATATCTTTAAAAATGTCAATAGTTCACAAGATACAAGGTCATTTTTAAATTATTGACATTTTTAAAGATATAAGCTCATCCCGATGTTACACTTATCAAGATCTTTCATTTGAGTACCCACATGCATTTTGATATATTTTTCATATATTCATATATATAAATATATAAAATATATGAAAAATTGATGTGGGTACTCAAATGAAAGGTCTCGATGAGTATATTGTCGTGATGAGCTTATATCTTTAAAAATGTCAATATTTCACAAGATACAAGGTCATTTCTTAATTATGTATCTAGAGAATGATATGAAACCTTGAAAAGGTATAAATTCAAATCAAGACCTTTGCAATGACACTAAATTTCACTAAGAAAATCGATTTTATCATGTGACTATCCTGGACAAATTTAGCAATTAAACTCACTAGCAAATGAAGAAGTAAACTCAGGATGCCATCCTTGATCAAAAGGTCCTTCGCAATAAAACCTGCAATCTTCTTCGGCCTTCAAGTAAAATCTTAGCGATTTTTCAAGATTTTCTATCGCTTCTTCAAAGTATTCTTCCTCGTAAGCTTTCACTCCTTCGACGTAAAATTTTATAAACTCTGCAGCTTCAAGATTTGAAACTTCAGTTTCTTTAACTTCAGGAAGCGATAAATAATATCGAAGATTGTCTATACTCATTTTATGATCTGCATGCTGAGCTAGATAAGTAAAAACTGCGTTCGCTGCTTCCTGGTAGCGGCTTCTCTAAAAATAAATATATATATTAATTTAGTAAAATATTTTTTATTAATTTTGTAAGTCACCTTATCAAAAAATAGTCTATAAATAAAATTAAGTTTACAGTCGAGTTAAGTAATAAAAAAAAAAAGATTTATTTCTCAAACAATTGAGACTTTGATAAATGAAAAAAAACAACTTTTGTAATTACTCAAGTTCGATAAAAACAAAGATACTGTCAGAAAACCAAATCAGTATTTTTTTATCATAAAATACGAGACACTTCCCACAATGATGGGTCCAATGTCGGTTAAATATTAAATGAATGATGTTTTTTCCTTCGTCAACAAAATTTTAAAACTCTTTCCGGCTTTCTACATCCTTCATTTGGTCATCAAAAATTTATTCCATTTGAAACTTTACAACTAAAACTTAAATATAAATGTGTTTCATTAAAGCGCGCATCAGATAACTGTTTTCGTAATCATTTTTATTGTATCGCGGATTAACTAATTTTTTTCAAGTTATTTTTAAATTAAATAAGAAATTGAATTACTATCTCTTCATACGATTAAAAATTTAATAAGTATATTTTAAATGAAAAGTAAAAAAAATTTTTGGTAAATATTTACAAGTGTAAACTATTTTAATTTTCATTTTTTTTAACGAAATTTCAATTTTCATTTTTTGATCCTATTTTTTTTTTTTGAAAAATAATAAAAAAAGAAACAATCTAAAAAAAAAAAGTTATTACAATTTTAATAAATTTTTTAAAAAATTGTGATCAAGTTTTTGTTTTTTTTTTTCAATTGTTCATTTTTTTATGTACTTTTCCAAAAAATAAAATAGAAATTTTATCCAAAAATATGAAAGATTTTATTGATTTTTTTTTCAAATAATAAAAAAAGAAAAAGTTAATTATCACAATTTTAACAAATTTAAAAAAAAATTTATAATTTTTTTTAGAAAATTTTGATATTTAACTTTTTTATTTTTAATTGTTCGTTTTTTTTATATACTTAAAAAAAAAATATATCAAAAAACGATAAAATAGAAATTTTATCAAAAAAAAAATGAGAGATATTATTGATATATTTTTTTTTAAATAATAAAAAAATGAACAATTTATAAAAAAAAGTTAGCACAATTTTAACAAATTTTCAAAAAAATTTATAAATTTTCCAGAAAATTGTTATATTCAATTTTTTTTTTTTTTAATTGCTCGTTTTTTTATGAACTTTAAATTAAAAAAAAATATATTAAAAAAATCTATCGAAATCTTTACGATATGGCCAAAAATAGGTTTGACCCCACTTGTAAATAATTACCAAATTTTTTTTTCAGCCTGTTACAAAATAAAAAAATTTTTAAAAATAGTAAATAATAAAAATTAATTTATTTTGCTAAAATGTTGGGTAATTGAAGTATTTAGAGGTCAAGTGATACGAAGGGAGCGATAAAATTTAGACTTTCAAACTTCCGGACTATGAAATAAATAAAAATAAAATAAAAGGGTTAAACGCGGAAATGATTATTTTAAAACTTAAAAAATATTGTGTATAAATAAAACTAATGTTTAGCCCAGAACGGGCTTATGCTTTTCTGAAACAACATATCTCGTATGAAATTATCCGCGCGTGGATCGTAAACCTAAATCTTGCATCATTTATTTACCATTAAATGTTAAATATATAATATGTTATTCGTATTTGTACGCAAAAATAAAATACCGACTATTATTAAATTGTTTTATGGTGATGCTAATTTTAATGGGCAAGTTAGTCAATGTGCTCAAACAATGCGCTTGAATTAAATATTTAAAGTAATCATTTCTCACGGTCTGTAATAATTTCTAACAGTTATATACTTGTACATAATACTTAACTATAAAAATATGCTTTTCTACGCTGTTACGGTCTCAAGCTTATCAATTAAACGATTGCGATTAGCTATTAATGCCGTCACTACAATCCATAACTCATACTTTAACTTAATTTATAACACCATAATAAAAGAACATTTATTTCATTTTTTTCAGTTTTAATCTGAATTTTAAATATTTATTTTCTAAATTTTTTTGCATTTTTTTTATCGTAGAAGAAGCTATTAATAACTTCAAGGCTTTATCTACAAAAAATTAAATTAAACTAGTAGACCCACCAAAAATATTTATGTTTCAATTTATCACAATTCTATGAAATGTTTTTTATACTTATAAATATTTATTAAAAGAAATATTAAATATTTAACATTTAAAATTAAATATTTAAGATTTTTATTAAGATAAACGTCCTGTGTTTAGATCATAAAGACTGAAACTAAAATAAAAATATTTGTTTAAAGTTAGAAATCAACTTTAGGGTTCTTTATATAAATAAATAATTTCCGGGCTTTAAAACTATTTGAAACTTTAAATTTATTTTGGCAATAAAAATATTATTGAAGATAAATTTTTAAATGATTTTTGTTTTCTTCTTTTACCTGATAATAACAAATATGAAGATACTCATATGGCTTCAAGTCAATTATCTTCTGCTCAATACTCGCCGGCAAACGTTTGAGAGCCTGACTTCCTGCTACATCCCGATAATCCTGATTGCATCTCAAAAGACAGAGCGTTTCTCTGACTTTTTTTTCGTAGAAATGCAAATCTTCAATGTTTTCAAAAAATATTGGTGTAAAGTACGATACACTGTCCCGACATTTTTTCCGGCAATTAATTACCGCGTTTTTGTACTCTTTATATCTGGAAGAAGCGAATAAATTATTTGAAAAAAGAAATTTATAAAATAAATTATTTGAAGAAATATTGAAGAATTATTAAAAAAAAAAAAAAGACAAATATTAGAAAATAAATTATTAAAAAAAAAAATAACAAATATTAGAAAATAAATTATTAAAAAAAAAAAACAAATTTAGAAAATGAATTATTTGAAGAAGTATTGAATTATTAGAAAAAAAAGACAAATATTAGAAAATAAATTAGCTTAAAAAAAATAAATTATTTAAAAAAAAAACAAATTTAGAAAATGAATTATTTGAAGAAATATTGAATTATTAAAAAAAAAAAAACAATTATTAGAAAATAAATTATAGCTTAAAAAATAAATTATTTGAATAAATAAATTATTAAAAAAAAAATAACAAATATTAGAAAATAAATTATTTTAAAAAATAAACAAATTTAGAAAATGAATTATTTGAAGAAATATTGAATTATTAAAAAAAAAAAACAATTATTAGAAAATAAATTAGCTCAAAAAAAATAAATTATTGAAAAAAAGAATAACAAATATTAGAAAATAAATTAACTTAAAAAATAAATTATTTGAAGAAATAAGTTATTAAAAAAAAAAAAAATAACAAATATTAGAAAATAAATTATTTTTAAAAATAAATTATTCAAAAAAATAAAACTTATAAAATAAATTAATAAATTAAAAAAGAAGAAATACCTTTGAATAACAAGATTAAATTCCACTATACATTTTTCATAATTATCATCCAAATAACTTTGCACAGCACGCTCATAAGCTTCTTCCAGTTTAATTTCTCTAAAATCATCATTAGTTTCAGCAGCCTTCCACTCAGCTTCAACGATCACAGCATCACGTTCATCATCTTCTTGGTCATCATCGAAATTATGTCCCTCGTAATTGATATTACCATCATTAGATTTTAAATCAACATCATCATTATCTCCAGTGATTTCTTCCTCAACTTGTTCTTGATCTTCAGATTTTTTATAGAGAAGTTCATCTTCATCGACATCAATCTCGTTGTCAATTTTATCATCGGAGGCGATTGTTGCGGCAACAATAAATGACAACAGAATAAACACTAGTGGCCAACGCATTTTTTACTGCGGTCGCTGTCGCTGTAAAAATTTTATCCGGCTAACTGGTGATGGTGACTCTACCACTCGACTTTGACTATCAACTGCACTGTAGTATAACTTAGCTTTGGAGTTGGAAGTTGGAGGCTGCATGGACATATACATCGCACATGTGTCATGTGTACCAAGTTTAGTTGGGGATTTGCTTCAGTAGAAGTATTTCTATGTATATATATGTATTTATAGTGGTAGTGAATATTATATGGAGTACACACATGCAACATCGGGGACAAGAGTCAGCTTCACTCCTACACAGTTTGCGGTATTTGTGTGGACACATGGACAAGAGCGAGAAGCTTCAACGGACGGTAATAAGAAAAACAAGGAAGAAATCTGAGAGAATGAGAATTAAGCAGAGAATGAGAATAAGAAATTTTTTTTAAAGGATAAAAATTTATTTTAAAATTATGAATAACTAATATATGTTGATCATTTTTATTAGATAAAAAATAGATCCAAAAATATAATTTTTATAAAATAATGTCCTTTAAAAAAGACAAAAAAAATTTTTTCTCCGGAATAGTCTATTTATTATGATAACTATTTAGGCTGCAGTCGAAAATGCTCTATCTCTAGATACATAATTAAGAAATTACCTTGTATCTTGTGAACTACTGACATTTTTAAAGATATAAGCTCATCCCGACAATATACTCATCAAGACCTTTCATTTGAGTACCCACATCAATTTTTCATATATTTATATATATTATATATATGTAGATATGAAAAATATATAAAAATGCATGTGGGTACTCAAATGAAAGCTCTTGATGAGTGTAACATCGGAATGAGCTTATATATTTGAAAATGTCAATAATTAAGAAATTACCTTGTATCTTGTCAACTATTGACATTTTTAAAGATATAAGCTCATCCCGATGTTACACTCATCGAGACCTTTCATTTGAGTACCCACATCAATTTTTCAT